GAAGAATAACAACTTTTTATTTAATCATACATAAATTTATCAATGGTTCTTGATCCAGCAGCTTCAGGCAGAGTCTGGTGTATGTCAGTGTAGAAAGCAGTTTGAGCTCTCAATGGGAAATACTGGTTAAATAAAAGGTCGAAGGATAACCATGTGCTTCCCCCATACACTCCCACACATAATAAACTACAGTAGGGACCCACCAGTCTCCAGTTTATTACCCCTACCTCCAGGCTAAAGGCAGAGAAACAAGGGCTGGTGCGGGTCTTAAACACTCTCCAAAATTTAAAGGTTGGAAAAGTGTTTTGATGGCACCGAAAGTCAGTTTTGTTACTTGTCGATTTCTGTTGAAGACTAAGGACATAGAAAGTCTCATCTAACGAACTAAAGCATGGGTCTTTCATTTCAGAACTTCACTCTCCAACATGCAGCCGATCTGTATATTATACCGTCACTTTCATAGATTCCCTTTCAGTTTCACAGATACATCAATTTCTATATTCTGCTTTATGAAGACCCAAGTGGACAATATTCATGCGTGTGTGTCTGGCTCTAACAGTCTGAATGCTAAAGACTATATTTAAATGTCATTTTTCACAACAAATCAATACAAATGAGCACCTGCAGCCGCAGCCGCAGATGTGTGGGGGTGTTGTTTCAGAATAGTTTCCCTGAATAAAGACATTTTCATAGATTAATTCTGACCAAATTCACTTTCAAACAGGATGTTACCCACATTTCAGCAGTTGATGTTGTGGTATAAATATTTCTAACGTAGACTGTACAATAAGAAATTTTGATGCTAATGCTAAACCATTTAATTGTAACCCCACAGCACATGATCATTAGTAGAAATAGTAGAACAATATTACATTTATTTTAAAAAAGGCACTGGGACTTTAAAATATATGCACACAAATTGCTCTAGTTTTATAATAGGAGAATAAAGATTCTATGATTTCAATGTTCACATTCAGGCCTCTCTCCTTGGAGGCAGCCTCCTTTGGCCGACAGCAGCAGCGTGGAAGATCCTGTTCAAGGCCTGTCTCATCCATTTAGTAAACTCTAAACATCTTATTAAGATCCACCTTCAGATACTGTACATTCAAATTCACACACACTGAATACAACTACCAAATACGATGTCTCTGTGTTTCACAAAGACATATTGATCTATTTGGGATGTAATATTAATACATGTCAAAGTAGCTGCAGTGTGGTATACTTGACAAAGGAAATATTGTTAATTCCTTTTCAATTGCCAATCAACCAGCGACCAATGGCTGATAAGCTAAGGAAATATCAAAGGCCAATTTCAACAATTTTTTACAAAAAACATGCTACGAAACTGTAGGTTCTTTACATTGCACTGATCTAGCTATGAAGCGTACAGTTATATATAAAAAAAATAATCCCGAAAGCTACAGCCTTGTTTTTAAAATGCTTTAAGAGAGCAGTCTAGTCATTTTTTTGCACTGTACTCTTCACGCTACAGTGTAAGACTTCATGTATCTTCTTTGGGCAAGTTTTTGGCCAAAACAAAACATTGTCTTCTGAGTTTTAAGGCTAACAGCCGATACACTAAAAAGAGAAATGATAAGCCCAATGTATTCATCTCCCTATAATTAAAATAAAAATTTTGTGTAACAACTATATGAGGATAGAAGCTCAAGTCGTACACATACAGAGATGAAAAACTATAGACCCTGTCTCTAAAAACTCTATTTAATGCACAAAATATTAGGACAGCAGGATTCAAATCTCATTTACATATTGAATGTTAAAAATGGATAATACAAGTCAAACTATGGTGGCGTGATTTGCTGGTGTGTGTGCCTGTGCAAACACACTGTGGGGTAGCGTGGGTGTGGCGTTACACCTCGTGTGGCACTGGGCAGCCCAGATAAGAGCTGATCCTATCCATGCCTCCCTTCTGCAGCGCCTGCCCGCCCACCCACACACCCCAAACACAAAAACACACTCAGACACACAATCTGCAGCTACACTAGCAGCCACTGTAATCTCGTTTCACAATCCCCATGTTATGAGCATGAACACACACACTAATGAGCAAAGCCACAAACATAAACAGAAGAAATCATATTCCAATATAGACTATCCATATTAGGTTGTGTCTCTCTACTGTATTTGTAAATAATAATGAATAATTGTTAAAACTAAAGTTTGACAAGAGGCCGCATCAGATCCCTTATCATTAAATCTTCATAAGGTTTTTACACAGACATCACTGGATCATCAACAGCATGACTTAAAGTATAATGAAAAATGAACAAAATCTCTTACCTTTCTTCTTTCTGAGACTTAAAAGCTACCTAAGCATACACAAACCCACACTCTACTTCTGCTGTATTTTGGTCAAACACTCACACAGCGTGATGTGATCGGCCACCCCGATAGTGAGCCACAGCGCTCTCTCTAAGCTTAAAACTAAGTTTGGTGTGCACTGACCAAGACCAAGGAGGGCACAAAGCAAGGGAGTGGAGCGAAAGAAAGGAAAAAGTGTGACCAGTGAGGGAAGTTTAACCACTTACGATTCAAGTTTAGCTTCAACACACCCCGCCTCCGCCCGGATTCATTCAGCCCATGTACACGCACACCTCTGTGGGTGGGAGAGGCACTCAATTGGATTTTGGGAAGCACTACTTTTCCTCTCGTGTTCCATCTGGTTGCTGCTGCGTGGCTGTCCGACATACAGATGCTCCTCGCTCTTCCCTCTTTGTCCTATCTGCTCTCCTGTGCTTATCCTGGGTCAAACAAACCCTCCTACAGCATCAGCCCCAAGGCCAGGTGACTGATAGACACAGCCTCTGACCCTGTGTGTGTGTCCTGTACCTGATAAAAGCAATATGCCATGGATCGACAACAGATGAGATTATAAAAGTATGTGAACAAGTAACATTGTGTAGCAGAGACTCAGGACAAGCAAAAGAGAAAAGGGATGAAAGGATTCAATTTGAGTCAGCGACAGGGAGACACAAAGTGTAGTGAATGTGATTTGATGGTGACGCTGTGATGGGCTTTAGGCGTACAAATAGTATTAGTCACTGCTGTGCAAACCTGTTACATACACACAGCCACCCAACAGACACAGGCCTCACATCACTGCAATGACATACACATAGCATGGTATAGTTCATGTTACGGGGCCCGGACACTAAGACCTGTAATAGAAATTCAACCAGCCGCATCTCTGTGACCAAAAATGGCATTTTGTCTCCAATCCATCAAACAGAAAGGGTAGGTGAAACTAATTTATGTAAGGAGAACAAGTCTAACCTATACAAGTGCTGAGTTTATATCTAAGGATCTCCAGGGAATCTTGCCACCAGTTATTTTACCATCCCATTCAATATAAATAGCATTTGGGTTTGGGTATAGAATGGATAATAATAAAAGTAAAATGTTTATCCAGGGGTAATGCTGAGAATAGATAAATCTGCATAATAAATATATGGCATAAATGGCATTTCAAAATGTACTTTATAATTGACACAAAATGAACACTTTATGCGAACTGATAAAATAAAAATAAACCTCAACTATGACAATGACCTTCCAGATTCCCTTTTCTGGTGTTTTTATTCAGTTCCCTTGAAAAAAAAGTATTCAGTTTTTGGGTCACATAGTAAGAAATAAGAATAGAAACGCAACTCAAAGCCTGTTCTAAAATCAGAGAAGGAGGGAACCTGTGCATAGCTCCTGACTATTAAGGCATATCTCCCTCAAATTTCCTTTCCATTATTCGTCCTTCTTTGACAAAACTCCCTCCCACGGCACACCCATGACCCCCCATGTGCAGACATGAGGTCAAGCTCCAAAGATCACAGGGAGAAGCCAGACGAAAGAGCGTGGGGCGGGGCAAGGCAAGGTGGGGAGAACAGGAACCTAAAATCCTTCTCTCTGTCCAAAAAAAAAACCCTCAAGCCTTCACATATAGCCCCTTCCCAGCACCCCTCCCACTCACCCAGTTGTGTTCAGCGGAGGCAGTGGGCACTCTTGCAGAAACATCAGCCCAGGGAAATTCAAATGAGAAGGAAACGTTGAGAGAGAGACACAGAGAGTGGAGAGAGGGCGAGGGCACAATAGTGAGAAAATAGGATCAAAAGAATGAGATGGGAGACCGTTGGGCCGCTTTGGAGGGGGGGTGATGGGGGAACAGCACGGGAGCGCCAGAGGTTGCTGAGGCTGCAGGTTTAGATAATGTGTAGATCTGAAGAGATTTGCAGGAAACATTTTTATTCATTTTTTGATTACCCTCCTTTCCCTCCTCCTCGGGTTGTCTCTGTTTGTTTTTGGCATTAGCGCTCACACAGACGGAATGCATGTGTATGTACATATGCATGCTGATTAGAAGACGAATATTTTATAAACACAAATGTTCACACTTGCACAAACCTGCACCACATACCAATAAGCACAGGCACGCTTAAAGATGCAACAGAGGGGCAAAGGGCTGGGTAGACAATGCCAGTATGCCTGGAATGCTAAAGGCGTACAAATGTGTCAACATGCAGGCCCACTGTCTGCATATGTACAGATACACACAGACAACAACTTTCTGATTGCACAGCAGGTTAACCAAGAGTTTGACACAAGATACACTGAATTCTAAAAGCCAAGCATACATGAAATACAACTATTACAGTGCACCTCAGTATTTCCCACAAAGACAATATGGGAGACATAGAAAATTTTAGAGGAGCCACCAGTCTCCTCTATTATTGGGAAACGCTGCACCCCTACCTCCTAATAAATATGTGTGCTTTTTATAAAAGGTTTTTAAAACTTTTTTTCACTTTTTGTAAAGGCCCATTTTGTCTTATACTTTTAAACATCAACAAAAAAGTTTTCATGTCTAGGTAACAAAAGTATTTGCATGTGTACAGGATGATGAGAAGATTTTCAGGTGAATATTTTTATGCTTGTGTGCTATATTGCGTTTTTAAAAGGTGTTAGAAGAGTTTGTCAGTGAAACACACCTGTCTCGCTCTCTGCCACTCCATCCAAGTTGAGTGAGATAGACTGGTCCCCCTCCTGCTGGCCACAGCCTAGAATCATCCAGTTCTCCAGGTCATCAGAGTCCGAAGAGCTGCTTGAGCCCAACACAGATGGGGACTGGGCCTGGGACTCAGACTCAGAATCAGACTCAGACTCTGAGCTGCTGACATTTATAGGAACTGCTGCTCTTTTTACCTGTGTTAATAATAAATACTAATGAAATATGTGTTATGCATTGAGCATGCATGACAATAAACAATAAAAAAAAGATTATAATATTACATAATATATTGTATACATTTCTGGTAATTTCAATTCACTATAAGTTATAGTTATTAACCATTTAAAGGTACAGTATGTCTTCTAGTAGAGGGTACGGTACAGTGCTTCTTTTGTCTCAGAAACACGGTTCATACCTTAAGCTCAACTGCACTTGCTCAGGCAGAAAGAAATATTTTTTCTAAATTATTGTTTAGAAGCTTTGCTGACAGAAAACCAACGATCAGCAGCAGTGGCTAGTGTCCTGAGACATTCATATCAGAGTAAAATGGTAAAAATCTTAGATCACATGAGACTGCATAGTGTGTAATTAGTTTGTTTTTTCTCAGTTTAATCCAAATCCCAAACTACAAAAAGGTGCACAAGATGCATATGCTTCTGAGACAAAAGGAGTTGTTATAGATTTACCTACAATGTTCCACAAAATGGCCAAGTCATTTCTTTTTTGTCTATAGGTGGTGTACCATCCACTAGAAATCATACCCATTACTAAACCAATGTTTAAAATGTGCACTTTTATGTGGCACAGTGCAGCCATGTCTGTCACAATAACACATTTTGATGTGCGATATTTTGCTATAGGACATATAGACAACAAACAATAATACTTAATCTACTCCATGCCAACTGACACAAAATCCTAACCCAAAAATATTCTAAATGTACAATTTATCACTAAAAACTCATAAGAAACATTCTGCTATTTATTTTATTTAACACATTAATAGTTACTTTGATCCTATAATTAGTCATGAAAGTTAGTACCCCACAAAATTATTGTTCAGTCTAAGATTTATTGAATGATAAACAGATATTGTAATTATTGTTACAGGCAGAAGTGCAGCACATACATGCACATAAAAAGTATGAAATCACATCTTTGACACTTTGCTTCTTGTCCCTCTCTCTACTCTATAACTCATGACAGCTAAGTGACCTAACAGCCAAATAGCCATTATCATGTATGATAATAACTTGAACACCAAATTAGGGGTCAGTGAATTGTTAACAGCTTTTTGACAGTTGTTTATGTAACTTACCTGCTGTGCAGGTGTGGAGGTACAAAGCTTAGGTAACCCTCGACCCTTCAAGGCACAAACTCCTTCTGTCTCATCACTACTGTCATCTTCAGAGAGTGTGATGACATCTGGGCTGGAGTCAATCACTATCACTTCTTCAAACACTGTAGATGCCCTCTGACCTTTACGTTTTTCATTCTTCGCATGTTTGGTCCTTTTCTTCTCCTTGTCTTCTTGTACTTTTTCTTTTTTCTCGGCTGTAGACTCGTTTTCTGATAGTTGTCTCAGTTTATCTGAATCCGTTAAGTTATGGTCACCTTGGGTGCTGACCTCATCCCTTTCTTTCCTTTCATCTTCCAGCTCACTGACCTCTCCAGCATTGGAGGAATAGTGAAGTTGGCTGTATAGGTGAAATTCAAGTTCACTGTCAGCCTCTGACCCCTCAGAGTCATCCTCCTCCTCTCTGTAGAGATCATCCTCCAGCTGCTCGTGGTATTGGTAGCTACTGTACATCACTACACACACCTCGATCACAGACACCTATCACAGAACAAACATTTATCAGATGACACTGTAATTACAGTTACAGTGATCTAATATATGAGCAGTTAGATGGATTTAGTCAAAACAAAAAAACTGTTAAAAAGAAAAATCATAAAAAGCCAAATTCACATAAATTGATTAAAATGTCATAACTGAAATAAAATTGTGATTGTCTGGTATTCCGCAAACAGAGCACTTTGAAAAAAAGTAGGAGAAAAAGTTTCCTTGTGCTTTTCTAATGATGCAAAAAAAAAAAAAAAAAAAAAAAAATGCACATAGACCACTATTCCACATTCCAATTTAGAGGCATTAAAAGTATTGCACTTCTACGAGAAGCCACTGAAATACCAATTATTAAAGAGAGACCTTTTTTTTCATAGACTGTCTGAAATCTATAAGAGCTTGTTAAAGAAAGATTATGGCTGACTTGAACAGATACTTTTGTAGAATTCGTTTTGTAGCCTACACTAATGAGACCATTTCTGGTGGCTTACACAAATGATGATTATTATTATTATAAAACATTATGAGATTTGGATGATTTAAGCACAAATAATGTACAATAGTTCCCTACTTATCCTTAGCTGATATATATGAAATATGTAGATCCATTTCTTTCTTGAGCACACACACTGGCACAAAGTGGCTTCAGTGGACATAGAAGGGGCACTGGCCCATTGCTCTGGCCAGCCCTGCGTGTCTCTGCCATGATGGCTGGAGATGATTGGCTCTCAGACCACACACACGGCAGTAAGGCCACGGTAGACAGTCACAAACCTCCCGCCAGGGATTATAGCACAGAAAGAGCCTCACCGGCCCGCGATGTAGGGAGTAAAAGTTCAGCAGTGCAGAGAGACAGAAAGCCTGCAAATGAGTTTGTCAGGACGATACAGCGAGGGTCCAGCACATACACAGTAACTACAAAAACGGGTCATTTCACAGACTTAATGATAGCAGAAACTTAATAGATCCATAATTCATACGTTAGTGTCAGTGTTATTACCGTATGTCTGGGAACATTTTAATAACTACTGTCAATATGGTAGGACATAATGTTAGCTAACTGTTGTTAGCTTAGGCTAACTAGCTCAACATTGATAGCATAGGTTTTCCGCTTTTAATTATAGATTATGAAAAATAAATTTTGCAGGTAAAGGACCATTTGCTTATCACGTTGTAATAACATACTAACAATAGCAAATCGTGGTTAAAGGAACCAATCCAATGTAAGTATGTGTCACTACAGTCTCCACGTGTTTATGAGCAGCAGCCGGGCGCTGGATGTAAACAATGAAACGATTAACTCACATCGAACTAAAAACAACGTGAACTCTGTTTTTTAAATGTACCACACTGAAAGCCAATTCATCTGGCCTTTATGGTTAGAGCTACTGTGAATATTAACTTACCACCCCGCAAAAAAATGAGAATTAAAAAGTGGAGGCACGAGTAGCAGCAGCCCAAGATCCATGCCCGAGAGAGACGGGGAAAGAACTTCCGGGTCTGTTCAAAGTAAGTCACGTTTCTCTGCCGGGACAAATCAGTTTCAAAGGTTGTTTGTTTCTGTGACTGAATAAGTAACTAACCTAAATAAGTAAGTAAATAAGTAACTATGTAAGTAATGATAAGTGCATTCGAAATCAGATATTTGTTAAATGATTCTTCTGCCATGTTCTTATAACAATAAGTCACTTTACTCAAGACACAAAATACCTGTATTCACAAACTGTTTAGTGCACATAGCCTGCACAATGACACATTCACTTAAATTCCTTCTTCTACATACGTAGCTATAATCATGTCTTTGTTTAAACACTTTAAATACATTCTAGGCATTCTTACAAAAAATAAGTGATTGCAAATAGAATTTTGTTCATAGATCTTCAGGAGTAATAATCCTGTTTTCACAATAATGACCAATTATTGTCACAGGCCTTGTACTGTACAGCCATTAGGCCAGTGGGTAAATTGTAGACACTTTTGACTGATGAGTAGAATGTGGTGTGGTCATGTGCAGTGGTGAACTCGCATTTCAAGCAATGTTGCAGAATTTGCACCATGCTATATATGTACACATACATCTACTCATTATTACTGTTCATCACGACCAGTGTCCAGTGACCACAGTGATTTATTTACTTCACTTGTATTAAATATGGCTGTGCAGTCACATGCAAGTAAAATAGAAGGGGGCTCAGGACACGCCTTCTGGTGAATACTCAATCTGAGGATTAAAATGCGCAGGTGATCTTTTCAACAGCTGCCGAAAGCCGTGAAGATCGATGAGGGGCAGTCTTTCACAGATGTTGTTCTCCAGATGTGGCAGAGTGAGTTGGATTGTGGAGATGGTATCCTCTGTTGACCTCCCAGCTCCTGCAGTACTGCATCTAAATCTGTCACAATAATTACTATAGACTTTTCTCTAAAATAAATGAAGAGATCAACCATATTTATTTGGACTTTAAATGTATTCTGTGTACATCTGTTTTGCACTAATGGGAACCTTCTATGTTTTATTCTATATTCACATTTGAATTTGAACATGTGAACATAGAGGGAGGTCTAATAACACAGGGTTGTCAAAAGTATTGAAAATCTGATACTAATCAATACTAAAGCTAGTATCTCATTTGAATAGGTATCAATACTAAAAAAGTTACATTCACAGGACAGAAATGAACCTTTCCTGAATAGTTTTAGAATGATCTTGAGCTGTACCAGAACATATCAATACTAAAAAAGTTACATTCACAGGACAGAAATGAACCTTTCCTGAATAGTTTTAGAATGATCTTGAGCTGTACCAGAACAAGTATAGGATCCTGTAGACTAGTATGGATCACTATGAAACAGGCCTGGACAACTGAGGAATTACACAGATATAAAGCCACATGGTAAAACAAAGTACTACAGTTTAATGTTGAAAATTACAATCTATTGTTTAAATAAATAATTTTTTTATCATCATCATTTTGGAATCAGTATTGAGTACAGGTCTGTTCCTTAGTATCAAAATCGACTTTGAAATCTTTGTGACAATAACATACTATACATAACTAACTAGGCTATTTGTGCATTTAGAAAAATTATCGAACTTCAGGGTAATTATCTTAGTGGCAAAAGTAGTTTCAATATTACTGTTTTTTGAGATATTTTCTAATCCATTACAACACAAAATGTGACAAACACCAGGAAAATACACTTTTTTATACACTAATTTAACAGCGTGAAAGCAAATTTCACCTTTCATTACTGTGCTGATCAAATCTACATATTTACCATATAAAGGCAGCTTGATTATAAATAGTATTACTTCTGTGTAGGCATATATTTTTCTTTCAAATATATTTTCTCTATTCACAATCAGATCCCCTAGATCCCCAGCATTCCCTACACCTCTGTATCACCAGCCTATTGTGATCCTTGTGGATGCAGGCAGTTTTCACCTTTCAAAAATATTAGCTATAAATGTTGTGAATGTATGCATGCATGTTTGAGTGGGGGCCTGCAGGTCTGTGCTATTATTACATGTTGATGGGAATGTAAATCTATATGTAAATGTAATTCAAAAGACTGGCTATCACCATCAGTCATATTTATTACATGCAGAATACAGCAAAATTGTGCTTTTGGGTTTCTGATTCAGGCTATGTTACATTAACATCTACCGTTCCCTCCTCTGCATATCCCATATCATGAACCGTAATTGTGGAGTCTATATCTAACTATGGGCATTATAATAATAGTGAGCGAATGGCATTGTGATATGGAATCGGGGGTTGAATACCATCTGATTCCAGGTGTTTCTCCATGCGTGTCAGTGCAGGAAAGGCCATCACAGAAGTAGATTGTTGCCTTACAAAGGTTAGTCTGTAACCTCTGTCCCAACACTATCACTGTATACACTGACACACTAAATACTGCATTTGTTTTTAGAGGGTGCATATGGGCCCTTCTGCCTCCTGCACTCCCACATCTATCTAAATTGGATGCAGGTCAGAGATGCCTCAGTGCCCTGGTGAAATTGTGATGTGGCTGCCTGATTTTGACTTCCATGCATTTGCCAATATTTATTACTATTTAAAAAAAAAAAAAAAAAAAGGTGGAAGCCGTTTGAATGGAAGAGGTTCATCTTGGAGTGTCCAGGTCACTGATGTGTTGAGGATGGATGGAGTGTCCGCAATAGAGACTTAAGGTTCCCTGATTTCCAATCATACATCCAACAGGATGGTTCTGCCTGATGAGTGGTTGTTATTGGGAAGAAGAAGTTAAAAGAAGCATGTCATTGGTCCTATTTTTGGTGTTTGTATTTCTTGTGATGGGACCTGCTTTCATTTGGAGACAGAAGCATGAGGCCGTGGTTTTGAAATGACTTTTATCCAAACTAGATACATGCAGCTACAGATTTCGCCACAACCCAGCCAGTGTGGATTTTTGAAGAAATGGTCACTTTGAATGTAAGTGTGTCTCATAATTTGAATGGGTACAGGATATATTGCTATACATATATTATATATAGTATACACAATATACTATATATTGTAGGATATATTGCTATACATTGTTTGTGAGGAAAGTGTTGATCAGTTTGCTGTTATCACGATATTTCAACACAAAAGAAAAAAAAACTTAATATGTTAATACAATTATTTCAGACAAGCGTATTCACATTCCTATAGGTTTTCTTGTTCCAGTAATGTCCCTCACTTGTGCATTGATAAATTATTAAATGATGATAAAATTATACATGTTAAAGAAAGTAAAAATAAATAAAGTAAAGAAATAATAAACTACAAAAATGTATTTATGAAAACGTATGTGCTTCTAGGGAGTGGCCACTACAGGTTCGACACACAGAGGGTCTAAGGCAGTATATAAAACTTCTTTCTGTAATTTTACTCATAATATGGCACCAAATTATAATAAAAAATCCTGGTGCCACCTTTGGACCACCTTAGTGAAAAGAAGTCTAGACTATTTACACATTTACAGCTAAGTCTGATTTTCGTAACAAAAGCTTAGACCCTATCGACATTCTATCTTTAGAAATACAAAGTGTCAGTGCTCTCAACAGGAAAAATCTTGAACAAGCGAGCAAGCTTCACAACACATTTCCTCAAAGAGTGGACCAGGCGACTGGGGATTACATTTGTAACAGAACAGAATCCTTGTCCACTGGTCACGCTGAAATGTTTGCCTTTACATACAAGTCATATTGAGTCACATTTAGACTTACACTTTACTTTACACTTTACTTACACTTTATTGATCCACAAGGGAAATTATTTGAACACAGTAGCTCACACATCACAAAAAATATAAGTCAAATAAGGCATAATTATTGTATATGTAAAATAAAAATAAAGGATATATAGTAAATATATCTTATCTATATCCAAAAGGCCACAAGGAGAAACAGTGCAAAGATTAAAGAGTGATTAATATAGGGTTGTCTATTACATAAGGGTGAGTTGTTGTACATTTGTATGGAGTATGGTATGAATGTCGTCCTGTATCGTTCAGTGTTTGAACGGAGCTGTAGGAGACTGTTTGAGAATGAGCTCTCCTATCCCTAAATATACAGCTAAATAATATTTTTGAGCTACTTTTAAATCAGCAGGAGAGAATACAAGTGCAAAATTAGCCCATGGTGCCACTGTGAATGAGGCTTGAAGCAGTATAGTATATTTTGAACATACAGTTTGAGGGCAAAAATGCCCCACTGATCCATCAGATCCAACAGTTCAGTTTTGCTTTTTTTTTTTTTTTTTTTTTTTTTTTTTTTTTTTTTTTTTTTGCATTTTGATGAATAATATATAGTTTTTCAATAACTTGGCTGGATAAAAAAGATGAAAAAAGTTTGTAAGTGCTGTATGACTTTTGACAGTAGAACAGAAATCCAATCATAAATCAGGCAAGCAAAATAAAATGTACAGTCCAATCCCCTCAGTGTTGAGAAGTCACAGTCACATAGTCACATCACCAAAGACTCCTCCCCCCTCTTCACATCAGGCAAGTGCTACAAAGTCCTGCTGGCATAAAAGCATTAAAAAAAATCATTCCAAATGCTTTCTACCTACCATTTTAGTTGGTATGTTGGGTGTGACTCTAGAAGGCCAATTTGTCTTCAGTGACAAATACAGAATTTGTGATTTCATAAACATGACCTATTGTCCCAGATAATACGTAAATATCAAATCAAATGTTGTTTTTACTGATAATAATTGTAATGTTGATTTATTCTTTATTACAAAAACAATGACCATGACGGCCAGGTTGGTTTGGTTCTCAAAACAATTATCCAATCAGAAACCAGAATGAGCCCCACATGAGCCCTTTGGATTGCCAGTTTTACTACTGAAACCAGAAATAAACCTAGAAGGACTCTCTGAGCTTTTGGAACATCTGCAGCTCTGGAGGAGTGAATCTGAAGGTTCTGAGCTTCCACATGATGCATGGCCTGTCCATATTGCCTAGGCCTCCTGAGAATAGGAAAACTTG